CAAATCAAAACAGCTCAATTACCACAAGCGCAATTCAAATCTCAAATTAAACAAGATAACATGATTATTCAAAACAAACAATCCCATCCCCGGTGTTACATATCAGAGCAAGATCCCTTTATTCTACAGGAAATAAAGAACACACTTTGCAGCTATCCACTAAGCCTCATCAAACTATTCTTGATTACCTGCAAGTTACCCATGTATAGAGGAAACATTTCCAAGCAACAAGGGTAAGTAAATCATAATCATTATAAAATACATAAGGAGTAAATACAGTAGTTATGATATAACATCAAAGAAACACACCATCAAAACTTCATGTCATACTCACACCTTCAAGCATCATAATACGCATCAGACACATGGTAATACCATCAATTAGCAATTATCACAAACACGCATCCACAAAACATCAGTCAACTACAATATCATGCAATGCCACATATAATGCAATGCAACTTCTTTAGATTCATGCATGTGGTACCAAAACCTCACTGATGATACCGTCATTGTTTTCTATAAATATTCCAACCAATAGGATCGATTCCCTATTGGAACCAAAGCACATCATAAATTGCACTCAATTCACACTATGGGATTAAGGCCATCACTGGACTATTCGTCCTACAAAACTCACTGGAACAACGTTCGGCAACCATCACTGGGCTACGCCCTAACTTATGCCATGAATGCATAATGTGAAACATCTTTAATAACCAAATGAAAACTGTTAGTAAAAATTCATCATCATTCATATAATCATCATAAATATAAACACATACTTCATAACATGAAACAACATCATCATAGCATCAATAATTCATTTGTATGCACATACATCATACTAAAATAATCACTGAATCATTGTATTTATCAAAACATAGGTATTGAAAATCACATCATATGACTCTTTTTATTCCACCTAGGTATAGTTCATCGCGTTATCTTCCTAACACTTTGAATGGCGCGTCAATTGGAGTCCTGAAACTCAAGTTATGACACTTTTAAAATACTACTATTGTCCATTGCCTGGTGCTCGCCTAACGAAGCAAGATGCTCTCTTGAGGCTCGCCCGACGATGAGGGAGCGACAACACTCTCATTCCTTTCTAGTCTCCACTTCCTGGCACTGCATCTCGCTCGCCCTACGCTCTCCTCTCACCTCTGTGTCACCCGGCGACGCTCCAGCAATAGACCACCCTCCATACAAAATACAGGGGCTATGTTTTTCACCCTATCCCATCACTTCTTACTCGCCCGACGTTTAAGCATGAACATGACTTCCTTGTTGCGATTTTTGTACTGCACAGTCCTAATTTCTACACGATTTCCCCATAGTACAGGTCTTAAGTTATCATAGATTTACTTAGTTTCATCACATAACAACAACATAAATATCATACATTATATGCATCAATTCTTTGCAAGAAAACATTATAATTTCATCAATTTTTATCAAAGCTTCATATTAACATCATCATACCAAAATCCCAACACAACCTACAATTATCTATACCTTAGATCATTTATAATAAAAACGATAAACCACCTTGCCTTAGATTTCTCTAGCAATTGATTTCTCTTCAGGTTCTATCAAATCTCTCTGATTTCATTTATACCCTAGCTCTCTTCACAACATTCTTCTCTTTTCATGATTGCACATAATGAAACTGACACTCTTTTTCCCTAGTTTAACCTTTGGACCCCTTCTATGATTTTCCCATCTTATCCTCACTTATCTATTCACAATTTACCACTTTGACCTCATAGCTTATACCTCTTATTATTATTCTATTTAACTAATTAAAATGATTCCAATTAATTACTAATTATATAAATTATTCTAAAATACTCTATACCTTCTTAATTCCTACCACCCCATCATACATCACACAAAACATCATATCAAAGCTTTATGATCATCCATACATCACATAAACATCGCAATTAAATCACAAATACTCACCATAAATTAATAAAATAATTAAATAAGCAATCTAATTATTTTGGGGTGTTACACATCCAACAATCCTCTATATTATATGTCTGTAAGTTATTCAACTCCTTTATATACGCGGATGACTCCATTTCATGTAACAAGTTTCAAACATAATTTGAATGTGCTCTCATAATTAACATATTAATTTGAGCTTTGGAGTGCTAACCTTGCAAGTACACCCACTTGTTCCATTACAACAAAAGCTCTCATCCATCGTAGCTTCTGTGATTCCACCTATTTCTAGTTCCACAATGAAACAGTGGCTTCATCTGTGAGAAATGAAACTTCATTCTCGTGTATATTACGATTCCTTATTTCTATGTACACTTTTCAAGCGTGAGACTCTCCTCGACTTTGAAACCTGAGCAAATAAGGAATCATATTATGCATAAGAACAACATTAGAATAACGAGATCGCAACCATATTTCCTCGACGATGGATGAAAGTTTCCTTCGTTTGGAAGTAAGCCTCTAACTCGTTCAACCCTGAGCAAATATAGTGCAAGAAGTCGATTAGAGAAAAATCAAACCGAACGACCGAATCCATCTCTAGTGAAAGAAGAAACAAAAGTTCAGAAATAAAAATAATGATCCAAAGGTGGTAAGAGTAATTCTCCTCCTTGGATCCTAGGAGGGGACCGGGAAATTTATGCTCCCTCCCCGGACCGTGACTAGCGTCAACCAAATCGAGCACAACCTAAGCATCCTCAATATGCTCAGATCATGGAGAGAAAAATTCCTAAATCTATGCAAAAACCTCCCAAGTTGGAGGAATACAATGGGAAAGGAGATCCTGACAAACATGTACAACTTATCAATGACCGACTAATCTAAAATTGCACCGATGATGCCTCCAAATGCAAGTTATTAGAGAAAAGATAGGCATGGACTAGAGAAGCTTGATACCATATGACAATTTGTATCTACACGCGTTTAATAGGACAATCACTCGCCCTTATGGCTATGCAGAGCTAATGGTATCAGTGGGAGATGGCAGAGACATCTGACCCATCCATACCCAATTCCTTGTCATCCCGTGCAGAAGCCTTTATGATTGCATCTTGTGCATACCCTTCACTTTCGCATTAGATGACACGACCTCACTCGTTCACCTCAAGCATAAGTACCATAACCTCCATGGAGAGTCGACTGTCTTGCTAACTGATATTTGGTAGCCAGTAAGATATACAACATGCTCCAACGAGATCAAGGGGAAAATAATGCTATGAAGATCAACACGACCTCCCTTGTATGGAAACTATGAATCTTAAACATTCGTACCCTGAAACATGGCTAAGAAACTAATGTCCGATCACGAGAAATAAGTAATGGGACACCCACTTTGTTATGTTTCACTTTGTTCCTTTACTATATTCATATATGAAAATTTACATATATAAAATTCAATATATCATAAGCTTACAACTCCCCACTATATATACAATGACCAAAATTATGAAATGTTTGTTCCTTTGTGATTATTGACAGCTACTCCAAAAAAATAATAATAATAAACGAGACATGACCAACATAGTGGACGCCCCAAGAAAGAATTCAGGGGTGTTGTATGGTATGCTTCAAGTTCCAGACTATAACAATCAATTCTCCAAAGTGCCTCATGCACCTTCATAATTCAAGGGAGCTGTCGGAGACACTTTGCAAGTCCTACTACAACAACTAATTCCTGCACGGGTGGACGTCTGAATACAACACTAAAATACCCCATGTCAAATAAATTTACGCTTTCACATTTAGTTGGACCACCCCCTCTAGATCTATCCAATTTGAGGGAAAGCATAGTGAATCCTAGAGACATCCACCTCGATCTGAGCCATAGCCTTGAGGGCAGGGATAGAGATCCTCTACCTTTGGCCAGGTTAGATCCTCTATGATGTGGAGCACAACTTAAACCATGGTCGTATCTAGCCTATTTTATGTCCATCATCTATAAGTATAATTCGAAACACCGCCATGATTAATCGGAGTTATTCCTTATCCACGAAAATGTGATTAAGGAACAATCGCATAAAGTTGGTATGACATGAAATTCTTACAGGTAAAATGAGAAGCATAACTACTCGGATCCAAATTTAGGTTGCACTAGTTTCAATCTGACACACCAACATGTTAAACTATATGGGCGCTTCCTCTGTGCGAATCATATTCCAAGCACAACCTTCCGCTGCTACCTTGACATCCAACTAGGAGAATGTGTATATATTAAGACATCGTGTTATGGTGTGAGACATTCATACACGACTCTGTAAAAGGCCTAGCGGCTGAGGTACAAAATTTAAAGTATCCACTCTGACTGATAGATCAACGCCCAACACCAATCACCTGGGAATAAAATATCCAGCACCATGTAAGTTTAGGTACGAGATGATATTTTTCCTCTAACAATTTTTGTAAATCAAATTTTTTATAACTCGTAGATAAATGAGTACACTGCAACATCACGTAATAAAGCTACATTCTAAGTAGAACAAACACACTTTAAACAAGGGAAACAAATAAATCCAATAATAAAGAAGTCACAATACATACAACAAAATGAGAGACGATGGCGCATGAGCATTAGTCAAAGATAGAAATAATTTGACCATCTTGCACAATTCGATACTAGAGGATATTTCCCTAGTAATAATGATGGAAATGCTCAACTTATTGTTGCGCATTTTCAAAAGACTCCAAACCTCCCCAAGGTTCAAAAAGACGAATTATTTCAATCGTCGTGCTAGGGAAGCGCTTTGTCCATACAAGAGCTCCATCTCTTTCAGAGCACATTCAAGAGCTCAAGTCCTTTCTCCCAAATGAATTCACCAAATACACCGCCTGATTGCCAACAATACTATAAAGGTTAGGAGGAGCCAGAACTTTACATAACTTCTATAGAGAAGCATGAGCTTTATGTAATTTCCTTAAATAAGTACCTTATTTGGATGTTAATTGTTTGCACTCCTCTCCAGCCAGGTCTTTTCCTCATGAGCTCGCTCAAATCAAATATCTTCCCAGCATCCAGATCCAACCATGGATAAAGCGATGAAAGTCTGCTTATCAGAACGAGCCAAAGTGTACAACTCTTCCTTTGAGGATTGCCCATGGACGCCGGTGAAACATTCCCAGTCATCATTAAAGGGTGAATTTTCGCGGTCATGAGAAGGGCTATGGCGAGAGTCCAGATTCATCTGTAAACCCGGAAGAGGAAGAAGATTTATAGTAGGGTTAGATGGTTGTATTTGTATTCCCCACTTTAAGATTCAAACCCTTACTTTATCCTCCATTACACCTGCACAAAAATACAATCGGTATCTCAAGACAATCACTGCAAAGGAAATTTGATAGTGAAGAGTAAAGAAAACCCCGAATATACCAAAAGCATCTTGGTGGTCTTCACAAGAACTAGGCTCCATCAACAAAGAAACATCTATCAGGTGATTTTTGCGCCTCTTCTCAGCCTCGTCCGAGGGGACCACACACTCGACATAACCCAAACGATTGACAAACTCTAACAACTTTTTCTACCAAAAATAATCCTCGGCTGTAAAGTCACTTTCTTTAAAAACATATGAGTAGTTCTCTAGAAGAAAGTGCTTCACTAACCAGGAATAGGGAAACAACTATTTACATTTTACCTTTCACCCCCGATACAGCCACACAAACAGTTACGTGGGCCTTAGGATAAAGGGGGTATAACCAAAAAGAACTGGTCTTTGAAAGAAGATGGTTCAGGGAAAGCTTAAAAAATGTTCCTTCGAAACTAAAATAACCAAACCCCACCCTTCTAGATAGGCTGAAATGCTTTGGTCGCATCGAAAGAGATGAAATAATAAGATAGTGAATGGTTTTCCATTCGGATACTCACAATAATGCTGATAAGCTTTAATGTACACCTAATTGGTGTGATGAAGTTTGGATGGAGCCATCATTAAATATTTAAGAACATCCACTTAAAAGGAAGTAAAAGTCAAACTTATTCCCATAGACGAAAAAGGATACTTATACAGAGGAATGGTTTAGTTACCATACTCGTTACAACTTATGTCTTCATCACCAGGAATGGTAAGACCCCAAAGCGACTATTCACCAACATCAAAAAAAGATCCATCTAAGTTCCCATCTTTGGTGAAGATCTAGATGGTTGAAAAAAATACATAACCTTCCCATAAAGAAGATGGGTTCACCTTCTTCTTTTTCACGATTTTTTGAAGCCTATTTGCCATGTTGTTAATTCTCTGAATTATGTAATTGGCATTATATTTGGTAAAACTAATAGAGCAACAATATGTTAGATAGGATGTATTTACTTTATAATAGGAATAGGTTATGCAAGAAGTCCTACCTTATGTTGGGACATGCTGAGTTGAAGTATTTCAACATCTGGAGCAACATGTCGGATAAGATGTCCTATGAAGGAGCATACGACATCGCTCTTGAGCTGAAGTGATCTGTTTATTTTGTTAAGTCACAATGGTAGAATATATTTTAGGATATTATATTATCCTATGTGGAACTGTTTTATAGGTCATGAAGAATCAAGTCAAAATATTGAAGATTATGCAGTTTCTAATTATGGATATAATTTCAGAAAATAATTATTGAAGACCTATTATTATGCAGAATCTTCTGCAGAATTGTAACAGCTAACAAGCTATGATTGAAGGCCGAAATCTAGTTGGGTACTAGGTTATAAATAAAAGCATTGTAACCTAGGATTAACAACCGTCCGTGAATTATCAAGATATTATTATTAGGGTTGAGTCTGTAGCAAATCTCTAGGAGAGTTGGTGTAAGTGAACCACTCAAATTGTGAGATGGTCACTATGTTCTCCTTGAAGTTGTGAAGCAAGAGTGAGTATTTTTCTTGGAGGAAGCTTTTAAGCAACTCCAATTTGGTGTTCTTAGTCAAGATTCTTGGCTAAGTTTAGAGGGAAGTGTGTCTTCCCGCTCGTCATAGAAGTGAGTCTTCTCATCATGGAAGTGTGCCTTCCTATTTTTTTGTGTTTGAAGTGTGATCTTCATATAGGTAGAAAGTTGTCAATATAATAACTGGGATTGGGACTGTTAAACATTATTGTGGTGATTGGAGATGAGATGGGATTTCTCATATCTAGGGAGGACATAGGTAGAAGTTGCACATGGTAGTGATTAAGTGAGAAGTTTTAAAAGGGAGAGTTTAACTTCGAATTAATATTGTCTAGTGGATTTCTTTCCTGACTTGGTATGCCCCCAGAGTAGCTGTTGGTTTGCACTAAACTGAGTTAACAATTATGTTTGTTCTTTTAATTTTTAGTACTGTTGTTTAATGTTGTATGCATTGCCATGTTGTTTTAATCTGAACAGATGTCTCGACATCCTATAGGATATTTGTGATCTGATATACCAGAATTTCAATTGGTATTAGGGCAGGTATCCTGTCTGTTTCTGGATGAGGTCCGAGGGGGATACTTTTTGGTTTATGGTCAAGGTATAAATTTCTACTGAAAAGTTGTTTGAACTCGGGTAGTTCATATTGTTTTTGATTGGTCCCTTGAAGTGGAGGATGGACTATTCATGATAGGGTAGTGTTAGACTTGTCTGTTGCCTTCAGGCCTGTAGCTTTGGTGGTAATCTATTGTGTTAGGTTTGATTTATTTTCAAACCTAAGATGTTTTTGATTGAACCTGGATGGTTGTGTGCAATTTGTGGTTCCTAAAGAGTGCTGAGGAGTGTTATGTTGTTGTGTATTCTGCTGCATGGTATCTGGTGTAACCTTGGTTATTTCTTATTCCGCAATTAAAAGAAGAACATTAGGGGTTGGTCTCCTAAGAAGGTTGGTATGTGATGTGTGCAAGACAGTATCAATTGACTATGTGAAGCTTCCAACGATACTTGAGTTTTACCTCTCAGTCCAATCATAACATTACTATGGAAAACCCATTTAACAACGGTTGGAAAAAGGTTATCATCACGTGGTTCATACCGTTGTTGAGTAGGGTGTGGTTGTAAGTTCATTGTTTCTATTACAATCTGGAAACCTTTATTAAAGGTTAGGACGCGTTCCACTTATCACAATGGTTATACTTATCCAACATTGGGATATGTACACATAGTTACTAGATTCGAAACCCATCAACACAAATTATATAAATCATAAATCACCTTTGATCACGGTTACAATATATAATCGTTGTAAAAAGTGGCCAAAGTTTATTATATAATATGTAGAATGCTTGTTTTCCCATACACCTCACTAAATAAATACAAGCTTTCAAAATGATGAAGAAATATATAATCTTAAAATTAAGCTATTCTTGAAAACCAACTTAAACAAACCATTGTTTTTCTGATTGCATGCGTCTCATCTTGCATTTCATGCTCTTTTACATATATACTGTGATTTATTGATCTAACTCCTTTGATACATCGTTATCTTAGATTATAGTTAAATTTCCATAACAACAAGACATTGGATAATCTGCCTCATCATCATCACTTATCATTGTAATTTTTATAATCGTAAATTTAACGATCATTACTGTTGATGAAGACTATCTAATTAATTATAGTTAATGAAATTTAACTATAATAGAAGACAATGATGCATCTGAGGAGCCAGGTCATTATACCATAATCTATAGGTAAAAGAGCATGAAATGAACGATGAGACGCGTGCAATTTGGAAATAATGATTGATATAAGTTGGTTTTCAAATACAATTTAATATTCACATTATAGTATCTATGTCAATTTAAATGAATGTATTTTAAGTGAGGGTTAGTGAAACAAATAATCTACATAGAATATAATAAACTCAAACAACATCATACAACAAAACCAGATATTATGAATTTCTGAGCAACGAAAAAGATATATTATAAGTTTCTAGGATGCGCCTTTTATTTAAAATAATCGTGGAACATGAATCAATATGAAGTTATCAACATGTGAGTTGAGTATGAAAATCATCTTATTTGTGAAACTATGAAGAAAAAGTATGAGATAAGTTTCCATCATAGCTTCAGGCTTCTTGTAATTTTTTCCATAGCTACACAAATAATATATCCCATAGACAAAGTAATGAAGAGGACTCTGAAAAACTGAGAACAATCAACAAAATAAACATGCAACAAATGAGATAATGGAGAAGATGGAAGAAGAAGAAGAAGAATACCTTAACGTATGAAGCACAAGATTCACGGCTAATGGCGAAGAACAAGAGAAAAGATGGGTGCTGGGTTTCACTGTGAAGGAAATGATGCTACTGTCAATAAGTGAGAGTTAACTCGCTTATATATGGGTAAATTTTTTCATAACAATTATTTACCAACTGTATTGATAAGTATTTATTTATTATAAATATATCACAATGGTGGAACAAACCAACCGTAGTCATAACCTTTTAACTTTATTATTTAAAAAATAAATAAAAGTGAAAAGGCGTGCCTTAATGTGATCGGTGGAAATAGAACTGACTGTTTAAAGCTGGTTCGCGAAATGTCGCGGAAGCAAGAGTCGCCATCGTCTTTTATGTTCTCCAACATGGAAAGGACAAAAGCACAGCAAAATTCCTTATTGAGAATGTTTCTCGGTTCGGGAGGTACATTTATAGAAAGGGGAGGTTTTAGCACCCTTTCTATCCATGGTTATCCATGGGCTCTTAGATACTTGCTCTTATGTTTTCAAAATGATGTTTGCTTTTCAAATGTGAGTGGGTTTGAAAAAGTTTCTTTGAAAGATTTCTGAATGACTCTTGTATCTGTCCTCAAGAGTGTTTGAAAATTTTGTTTTGAAAGCTTTTGAAGGTGTCAGTGTGAAAAGGTTTTTGTTTTGTTTTTTAGAGAGCAAGTACCCATGAGTCATCTACCTACCCTAAGGAATTAGGTTGTGTAAGAGTCCTTAAGGTAGTGCCATCCCACCATTGAGAGGTAGGTAGCACCACCGTTGGAGGTGTTCGGGTCAATTCGATTGTAGGGACAGTGTGGTCACCGAAGCAACAGTTAGGACACCTTAGAAGCAACCCTAATGTCCTAGATCCTTTTTAATCCGAGGCAACCGTTTCGAGGCAACTGTTTCGAGGCAACTGGATCTTGGACATAAGAGCGACCGCTAAAACGTCCTATACTTGACGACCACGTTTCGAAGGCAACGAGTGAGGCGTACCCTAGAAGTGGTGTGTGCATTGTGTGTTGTTTTCATGTTAACAGTTATCTTTGATCATGGCATTGTGAGCTACAAGTTGTTTTTTAATTATCATACATTCTTTCATGCGATTTAGCAGTTAGGAGTGCGGAAAATTAAATACGAAAAGGTAAAAGCTACGCTATTACAAGGCGCGGGTCTATACATCGCCAAAATACAAAGACCCATTTTTGATAAAGATGCGGAAAGTAAAAAAGCAATAAACCTAATTACTATTACATCCTTGAACAGT